TGCGGATACGATTTCCTTGAGCATCTTGTAGCTTGGTCTCTGTATTGAATTTTAGTTCTCCTTCCCCTTGATTTGCCGTACTGCTACATCAGCTCCACTGTCAATAATGCTGGCCACATCCTCATGCTCTTTCCCAAGTCTCCTCACTATGGGTTCATCATCTGACACGTCAATCTCACCAACTTGCTGGAATTCTGGCTCTCATCATCATCATCTCCAATGTAGAAGTGTATTACTCGAACTCCTTGATCTTCTAGCTCATCATCTCCCTGTCTCAAGTCAAAAATGATGGGCTCATCATTCACAATTCTCCTGACCACTGGCTTGGTCTCTGCTGAGCTGCCTCGTTGGCTCACATTGGCATGTTGTTGACCAACTGTATGAGTTGTCACTGATGCTACTCCTGAGGATGAATGGGCTGGATCACTTGCTACCTGTCTAAGATTGTTCCTCCAACAGTCTTTAGCAATGTCTCAGTCCTCTCTGCATCATCAGCTAACTCCATGTCAAATTTACCATTTGGCTTCTCATGGTTTCCTTCAAATCCTTCATGTAGCCCTCATCAACTGCGCCCAAACACTTCTCAAAGACCCATGACCACTCTCTGAATGCCTTGCTTGATCTCTTCTTCTTGTGGCTGAAAGTCAAAGATATTGGCCTTTGCTATCCGTTTTGACCCATCTGTTGCTGATGACTTCTTGTCTTCAACTGCCTTCTTCACTGCCTCAGCTTCTGATGTTGTTGCCAATGTACTGAGTACAGTGTTGTTAACAGCAGTTCTTCACCAGTTCATCTGCTTGGGTTCCAAAGGCTTGGGATCCCAGTGACCTAGGGGCTTTTCAATCAGAGTTCAAGAGGGGTTACCTCCTTCTCAGCTCCGCTACCATACGCACTTTTTCTCAATAGCCAAAGGGGCTGCAGTGCACTCACATATGTTCAGTGGTGTCTATGATGCTGTACATAGCTACTCTGATTTACTTTGAAAATGGTTTACCGAAATCTCTGACACTGGCACGTGTCATTGGTGGAAATAAGTCTAACTCAATGAGCCTTCGGGACCTCGTCGCTGACCGGCCTCTCCCCGTCCCGGCCTCTCCCCGGGTATACCGGTCGGTCTATGGGCGTGATGAACACTGCGCTTTTGAAAACCGTTTGCCAAGCCCAACCAAGCTACGAATGGCGTTCTGGCTACTAGTAGCGATACCCTTTGTTACTAGTAGCAAGAATGCTACTAGTACTAGTAGCTTCTTGTCACTAATAAGCAAACCGTTCCCTCAGATGCCCATCGTTCGTTCAGCTTCGCAACTTTGTCGATGAAGTATGCGCACTGGTCACCATCAGATTCCTCGCCATCATCGTCGGAGCATTCGTTCAGCTTTGCAGTCCATGGCAACGGCATACTAAAAAGCAATGGTTGGCACAGGTGCTCGAGGGCTACGAAAGCTGAACGCCTTTTGCCTGGAGTTTGATTGACAGTGCAGCAATGGAAGCTAGGTAACAAAATCTGCAGACACACTTGAAGAAAAGACCTGGGTGTGTCCGATGCGCATGAAACCGGCGGTTTAGTACATACCAAACGAAACCATGACGCTGAACACACGATTTGCTTGGGCAGTTGCTGTACACCTGCTTTCGAACCAACTGGCCAGAGAAGCAAAACGCACAAGCGATGACTTATGTCACAAGTCCAATACTGTCCTCAAAAAGCAGATAGGGTTTCTGCTGTTATTTATCGACAAAGCAGCTCCGTCGTTCTTAATCCTGCAGCCCAGCCCAGCAGCAAACGCATTCTTTCCATTTCACATCAAGCTGCAAGGGTTTCATTGTCCAGGATTGGGCCATGCTTTATCTTGGTCAAACCTGATTGGCGTCTCTGTGATCTGATCTGACTGTGCCCTGCCCTGATTTCAACCTATCGTCTCCAGACAAAAAGACTTGCTATGCAAGTCTCAGACGAGAAACTCAGACATTAAAAAGGTCTTTCAGGTGCAAAACAGGCGCAAAATGGAGCATTGCGGGTCTACTTGACACAGACTTGATCACCAGCCTTGACTACAACGAAGGTAAGATCCATATACAATGAAGACTCTGAGATATGGCAATATCTTTCCAAACCTGTGCCAACAAACAAAAGGCTCCTGCATGCATCAAGTCAACCCTGCTCAAGGAGAGCCTGAAGAGCCTCAGTATGCAGTGTCTGAAGACGTGCGGTGAGGGCCACTAACATGGAAGTCACCACTTGTATAACACTTCGTCTATGTCTCCGAGTCACTAACATGGAAGTGGAAAACCACCTGCTTGCAGAGGAAAAATGGTCCTCTTTTCGGGGCCATGTCCCGCTTTTCATGATTGTTTCAGGCCTGGCACCACTCAAAGCCCGGGGCCTTGGCGACTGGGTCCAACATCTGACCACCCCCACGATCGCTGATCGCTCACCAGCGCTGGTGCAAATCCCTCGGAGACTCCTCCCACCACAGCGACTCTTGGGCCCTGAGCTCCAGGCGACTGAGGCGACTGAGGCGTCTCACAGCTGCAGGTACATCTTGGCACGATCATAGAGGACCTCAGCAATTCACTGCCACCACGCAAACACCGAGTCGATCGGCCGAGACAAAAGCAGAAAGAAAACGTGGTCTCGCTAAGGAATCTCTTGTCAAGGAGTATTGGCATTCAGATATTTTGGTCATCACTAGTAGTACAGTACTAGTGTTTTTGCATCTGTTGTTTGGGTGATGTGCCAACCCTCTTCACAAAAAGCAATTTGAGGGTCCGCTCACTCAGTCAGTCAGTCAGTCAGTCAGTAAGTCCAAGCTCTTGATGTTGCTGGAGCTTGAGATGTTTTTGGAATTAAAGAACATACACGGCAAATTGTCATCGAGCAGGTGAGCAGGTAGGACCTCAATTCCACCAGTCAGTATGGGTCCAGAGCAGAAACCTGTTGCAGTATTTCTAGCTCGACCTAACCAAAATGTTTGCACTGTGTCAAAGCCTACGCTTGCAGTGTTAGTGGGTGTTGGAAGAGTTTCATGATACTGGTGATGCTGATTTGAGGCTATCAGCATCTGCATGCTGAAGATTTGATCACTGTGAAAACCATGTGAATGTTGGTGTCAAGCACCGTGCAATATGTAAGTCATTTTTTTTTAGCAATTTGCGCGATGCACTGTCAATACATGATGGAGAAGTCAAGCTGTCGTTGGGCCACTTGGGCTTTACAAAAAACAGCGAAAATCATGCGGGAACAACATGTGGTTTTCAGTTCAATTAATATTATATACAAGATATGTTTTCCCCTCAGTGTTTCATCCCAAAAAAACAACGGGCGTTGCTCCAATGGCGTCTCAGCCTTTAAGGCCATGGCAAGGACCAATGCTCCACCAACGCTGCGCACAATATTCGCCACGAATCCCTTGTAGAGACCGGCCATCAGTCCTCAGATCTGCAGCATGCTTAATTTGCCTATAAACCTTCTTTTGTTCACATACCATTTACACCCTTGATGTATCATCAGCAATACCTTTCGCCTTGCAACTGCATGCCACGCAGGACAGATGTCTGAGTAGCTGACCCTCCTCAGCAGCAATCTTCTTGAAGCAGTCCATGGTGCCCTTGTAGATGTGCTCCTCGGGGGGCTTCTCTGACTGCATCTGCAGTCTTCTGCGCACAGTGTCGAAGGGGTAGGTGGCACCTGCTCCGATGGTAA